TTTTTTTTTTTTTTGTTTCGGGCTGCACCAGGGTCGGGAAGAGCAGAAGCACGCGGGCTGAAGAAGAAAGGAAGAAGAAGAAAAGAAATAAGCCATCCTTATCCAAATTTTCTTCTTTTAAGCCCCTTGAATTTAACACAAATTGCCATTCACTAATAATATTTCTTCACAAGTTAGTCCCTAACTCACTTATTTATTGTAGAAATTTTTGGGGTATTACAATATAACTATAAAATACATTAATATCTAAATTTGTGGAAACATAAAAAAAGACATAAATTATAAATAAGTTCTGAAATTCCTTTACAATTATAAAAATTGAAAAGATTTAGAAAATGTTTTTTTGGCTATATCATCCAAAGCACCAAGAATGATAAAAGATGAGCCCAAATTTCGAATCTAGTGCAAATAATTTTTAAAAGCTAAAACTATTTTTCTTTTTTTTTTTTACTTAATGCATCAAATGATTCAATCACATTTTTCAAACTTTGTGAAAAGCAAATAAAATTTAACATGAATATCACTAAGATTGATTAAAAACATTCATAATCAAGATTTAAAATTTCTCAACTAAACATTCAAAAATAGTAGAATGAAGATTAATTTTATTATATAGTATTAAGACTTCTATAATAAATTTCTTTAAAACTTAGTTAAGAAAATCATAATATCATTTTATAAACAAATTAAAAATTTAAGATCTTAAGAAGAGAATTGCAGATCAACTCTAAGGAGTAGATTTACATGTGCATTAAAAATTTAAAATTATAGTTAACATGCATGATTAATAAGGAAAAATAAATTAGTGAATATGAGGACATTTTATTTTTATTTTTTAATTAAGTTAACAAGGTTATTATTGTGTAAAATAAAAAAAAATTAAAACACTACAAAAAAAATATATTATATTATTTAATTAAATTATATTAAAATCAAATTTTATTTTATAATAAGACAATTTAAACATTTGATAATAGAATTGCATACCGAACTAATTATATTAATTTTAAAATTTTATAATCTAAACTAACTCAATTTTATATCAAATTAGTTTAACTTTTTATTAAATTGAGTCAGTTTCAATCAGATTAATTAAATTGGATCATATATATTATATAAGCACCCCTAGACAATTATTTATAAACAATGATAATCTCATAATCTGAATCTATAAATAAATAAATGTCTTGTTAGCTACAGCCAACAATTTTTTTATTAATTATTTGTAATAATTATAATTTTTGCATAGTAAGCATATCCACACGTGTTGATAGGTCAAAACAGGTTGACCATTGTTCCGGTTTAAAAACATTGGGGTAAAGAAATTCATAATTATGAAACTCTGCAACAGTTACCCGGTTTTTACTAATGTGTTTCCATCAAACTTCTCCAGAAACCATATTTCTTTTATCAATAAACATACATTGTTATTAAAATGATGATTACAACATTGGCATAATAGTAACATTTCCTATTTCATTTCGACAAAAAGCACTCTCCCAACAAACTTGAACTGAAAATATGTTCAGAGTGCAAGAGATAGCAAAAGGGAAAAACAAGGAAAAAATAAATTGAAAAATCACCCCTGAAAATGCATTCACAAAATATACAGAATACACATACTGACTAAGCCAACATCCCAAACCCATAACTTAACTGCCCATATGACCCAGCTGATCATTGGTTGGCATCAATAGGAGTACCCGTCCTGGCCTGTGATATCCGATTAGCATAAAGAGTAACCAGCCGCAACTGTGTGCTGTTAAGACCCTCCAGGTGTGGTAAAAAAGCTTGCCCTAGCATGATATAGATATCCACTAAACAGAACACAACAGTCTGTACAACCCAACAATAACAAAGGATGAAATAAAATTTAAAAAAAAAAAATCAGTATAATTTGAAGAGACAAAAGAGAACAAGAATTATACCAACTTAAAAAATGTTATGATAAGTGTAATTTTCCCTGCATATGTGCTTTCTACCACAAATGAATACATGCACATTTTGGGAAAGGAGACCACAGCCAGATATCATCAATGGAAACTGTACTTTTCACCAAAAAAAAAAAAAAAACCCACCACCAACAACTTTCCCAACGGCTGGTTGAACTCTCAAATCAACCATTTGATAAAACTGCACGAAACTCAAAAGGCCCCGAGCCAAAAATGCTAACAATTTTAAGCATCCTATGGGCTAGCAGCTGTGTATTATATTATTAGAAAATTCAATCATTTTCTCATTTCAGTTTCTGTGGATGCAACGTCTTTCACAACAAGCACATTACTTTTCCACATTAGAAAGAATTACAAAACGTAACAACTAGAACATTTTCAGCTGATAAAAGACTTTTTCCAAATGCATATATGATATATCTTGACTTCTGTTCTTATCCCTCTCCAACAAACAAAACCAAAACTTCAACTATCCCTGTCAAGGCATAATTATCTGAAAGATCTATTCCTGTAGTTTTCCCATTTCAAATTTTCTTTACCTTTCATTTCTTTCATATTTTTCTATAACCATTCAGATAAACTACAATTTTTAGACATAATGACATTACACAACAATAACATAAAAAGTATTTTACTTTTAATTCATTTTTCATTTTCCTGCGAATTTTCCTTAAGACTTCACTTTTATATTATCCATGCACTATGATCATAAAAGGAGTTCCCAAGCTTGACATCAAACTGCAAATTGAGAGAAAAAAAAAAAAAAAAAGAAACAAAAGGAGCATAGAAGACCAAAGGTGCATTACCTTGCGGACATCTGCACTCTGGTTCCCAAAAGCTTCAAAAAGAGCAGGCAAAAATGAAGGCAACTGTGCAGTTAGCCCTTCCTGCGAGAGACGGCCCACAAGCTGCAAATATTAACAGAAATGATTTTAGCTTTGTAGTGCCTATAATTCAAAAAAGTTGACCAAATCCTTTTGAAGTGATACAAAATCTGTTAAACAAAAGAAGGAAAATCCAGTCTTTGATGGTAAGGTAAACATTGACTAGCAGAGACAATAAATATCAAGTTCCCCCTTTTTTTTTTTTGGCCAAAGTTCCATTTAAATTCTGGATTTTTTCTCACTGTGATTAAACGACGTTAAAGTCCACACATGTATGAAGCATCTCAAGTTTTCTGTCAACATTTTAATTTTGGAGATAAATTAGAAATTAAATAAAAAGAACAGTAATAACAACATGCAATACATATGTGTGCAAGTTTCAGCAGGACACCTTACCTGTCTAAAAACACCATGTGCATAATATTACAATTTAACTAAAAGTTTCCAATGGAGAATTAAGTACAAATAATGGTCCCTCTAGAAGTTCATATTATCTTCGACAGACCGTCTAAAGAACAACATAGACACATCCACAACACCAATTCGAGAAATCCTATGACAGTACAACTGCAGATAAAGTTTTTCATCATATAAATATCAGACATTAAAATAGTCGTATAGATTGAATATCACACACATGACCAAGGACACCTGCAGCATGTTCTCAACTAGAATCTCAGCTAGAAATGTTAAATCCTTATAATTAAAATTTGAAACTCTAATCAATGATCAAGATAATTACCTTCGTCAAGCAGTTTATGCAAGTAACGAGAGTCTTCTCATCTTCAGTAACCAATAAAGGGACAATAACCTGAAATACAGTGATCTGCAATATCAAACCCCAAAAAAGGCCAAAGCACTCTTCTCCACATTATATAGAAAGAAAATAAGCCTAAGCGTTAGATTTTTAAAAATTAAGACAGATCAGAATCACATACACTTAAACATCTTAGAGGATCATACTGAGACAACACAGTATTCAAGCAATGCTCAGCTTCATTTGAAACCTAACAAGAAGAAGAAGTGCTGAGATGTGAAATAGGAAGCTAGAATTTACTCAATGAAATCGTTATAGGAGAGAAAAAATTACCCTTGGAATGACATCTTTTGTGACATGAAGCAGCTTCTCAACTAATATTTCAACAGAATCTTCCATGGCATCTTTCTGAAAGCATCGCAAACCAGAAAGGAAATGCAATAAGCACACAAACAACATAATAGAAATAGACTCCAAGGTAATGTAATGAAACAATTGCATGATGAAAATCTACAGACCTGATTCTTGAGCATTTCTACAATCAACAAAAGGGCAAGTTCCCTAGTTGAGAAATCAGAATCATCCAGCACCTCAAGTAAAGCTGTCAGAATCTGATTGAAGTACTGCAAGTATTTAACAAACCAACATTATTACTATCAGGGGGGTGCACATCAAATAAACGAAATCAATATTTGAATTAGTGAAAGGCAGGGCGTAAGAAGAGGAAAATTGAAAAGATGGTGACATCCACATTTTGGCCAGTGGCCATGATGTGCATCAAACAAAGGCATTTGTTATGCAAATTTCTAAAAATCATATTTATCAACCACCTGCTCAGTTGTGCACAGAGAAAGAGAAAAAAATCTAAATAGATCATACCTTGCTCCAAATTGATTGATCATTGGCCACAGAAGCTTCAATTAACTGCTGAATTGCACCACGTTTAATTGCACTAGGATTTTCCTCAGTCCCATTGCAGATCTATGAAACACAGACTTAATCAAGTCTGAAGTGATATTAAACCTATTGGGCTTTGAGAAGTAAAATGACTATTTCTATGCACATAAATACAATGGATGAAAAGTTTATTGTTGAATCAAAGCTCTAGTAGCAAAAAACTCACCAGGTGAAGAATTTGAGGAATGCTAGGTCCATTATCTAGATTAGAGTTAATCTTGACAGCAGTAGGCTTGTCATGATTAAGGTCCAATTCCAACAAAGCTTCATTAGCGTGTCCAACCCCTTCTATGACCCCTGTGGTGTCAGATTTCATCAGACCATTGGTGTCCAAGTGAGGAGTAGATAGACACTCTAAGCTAACACTAGTTTCCAAGCTTTCCAATCTTCCATCCCAAGATACTGCATTCTGGTCTGTGGAATTGACCATATAAGGCAGTTCCTTGGTTTTGGAAAGAAGAACATCAGGGTTCGAATGAGTCTCAAAGTTATGATACAAGTTCTCTAGAGTTTCTTCAGAAGTTGCTTGGACAAAACTATCTATAATCAGGGTAGATTCCTGAGTCGAATTGCACTTCCTTCCACCATCACTGTCAATTGAACCACTAGAATACCTTCCAAGCAAGTGACTTTTCTTGGGCAAACCAACATATCCTTCTTCAGAAGAAGTTCCAACAACATCAGAAGGGTCATAAGATGACTTAGAGCGCTGTTTCTTGTTCTGTAGATAGTTCATTAAGTCCACTTCAATACGTGGAGTGTACTGTTTAAGTGCTCGTCTCAAAGAGTTCTGTTCTTCAACAGATAGGCTAAGAATGAAATTGAGGACAGCAGCTGAATCAGAGTGGGAGTAGACAGATATGATGCATGTAATAGCTGCTTCCTTAAGCTTAGTATTTTTATCATGAACCAATGGTGTCAATTTTGTGAGCCATAGCTTCAGGATGCCAATATTACCAGAACCTTCTGAATTTCCTGCATGCTTATTAAAGGAACTAATGGCAAACTCAATAACAGCTAATTTGGCCTTCGGTGATCGTTGTTCATCGAGTGAACGCAGCAAAGCAGGTAAGAGAGAATCAATGCTATAAGTTTTGCTAACAATGTCCAAAGTTGTAGTGCAAGGTTGCCTAACCAACTCCTTAGGATCAATTAACCGTGAGAAAACATGGGGTAAAATCCTTTCCATATAACTCTCAAATGGCTTTCTGCACAATGGAATAATATCTGCAAGTGTTGAAAGAGCTGCCTGTGCAACTTTATGGTGAGGATCATCCAAATGCTGGAAGAAAAGCTTCATCACCTTCTCAAAACTCTGGACCACTTCTTGAACACCTCTGGGGCCTTGCTGAAGCAAAGAATGGAGATAAGTGAAAGCAGCAACTCTAGCACACCAGTCAGAACTAGGACTGAGCCCCTCATTGAGAGCATCGCTTAGACATGATGGACCTTCTACATAAGTTGACATCTCCCCAAGTGACAGCTGGCAATCATCAAAACTCTTTCTCCTGGTGGCAGCCATCCTTCCAGCCGTATTCTTTCTCAAAAGTGGCCTCTGGAAGTTGGGAATGTTATTATTTTGTGAATCCCTTATATTCGCATCTCTGTAAGAGGTCTCCGAAAACTGCCTGTCAACATGCAGGTTTGCAAAGTGCCTACCCTCCCTAAATTCACTTCTATCTTCAGTGGAACTTCGTTCTTGAAGTCTTTCAGAAGCTCTCTTAGCCAAGTATGATGAAAAAGCTGGCAATGACTCAGTTGCCAAATTACTTCTCTGTGATAGTTTACCTGAATCTTTGGAAGCTTGAATCTGTGTGATGATGTCCGACATAACCAAGCCACCATTGCGGTTACTACTTTTACTGCCAATAGAGGCAGATGATTCTAGAGCTAAATGGCTTGTGAAATTGTTAGAAGATGGAACAGCAGCAGGAAATGGTGGATCACGGGATGATGGAGGTTCAACTCCTGCACTAGGGAGCCAACAAGAGAACAAATTAACTGCTCACAATAACAACAATTAAATTATAATTCATAACTCATATGGGCATATAACCACCACATCAGCAACTAAACTAATATGTTGAAATTTCAACTTAATTAATAACTGAAGAAAAATATGGCAGGAGCCATATAATACCTAGATCCAAACTGGATGACCGGAGAGATGAAGGATTCTGCTTGTCTGAGATTTCCAAACCTCTAAGCATACTTTCAATGGCACTGACCTTCTGTTTGCTTGCATGTAATACACTCTCCAGACTACGTTCAGTCTCCTTACCAAGAGTCTTTGCCTGTGACAGAAGCAAACCAGAGGATATGGATGTCCCAGAGGATAAGCCAGAACTTCTGTCCATTGCAACTATAGCAGAAGTTCCATACCCAAGTAAATTTGAAGATGTCTGAGACGTAAAGGACACTTGCACATTTCTGTCACGGACTGAAGGAGAAGCATGTCGCCTAGGCATCCCTCCATCTTCTTCATTTATTATCTATCCAAAAGGATCCACAATTTAAGAAATGACAACATTTTAAAAATTAAAAAAAAAAAAAAAAAACCTTTCAATAGAGAAGCTATATACCTTTTGAATGACAGGATCAAATGTTGAAAATAACCGGTGAGAACGGTCTGGCCAAGTTTTTGCAAACATTCTATAGCACATTCTAGCAGTTGATCGTACCTGTTTAACTTCATAGATGTTAACCACTTATCTAGCATAGTAGCAAGCATAATACAAAAGAAAAAGATACAACAAGTGGCTCGTGTAGCTGCCAGGGATTTTAAACATGATTATGAATGAAAGAGCAGAGTGCTTGAAAATATTAACGATAAAGATAAACAGAGTAAGATGAATGATTCAGGGTAGAAAATATAAAATTATTCATGCTTCGAAAACAAATCCTGCCTCATAACATAAGCCCTGTTTAATTGACCAAACACATAGCATTCAACCACATATAAATTCACTGTGCTCCAGTTTACTTTATCCTTCTGGACTCCTTTTATGTGGATTATATGAATTATATTGAAAGACATCAACAGAAGCATGGCCTATGTACCAGAGATTTCTACAATAGAAGCACCTTATGATGAAAGACTCAATCCCTCACACCATATCAAACATGCAGAGCATCTCCACAGTAAGTATGCAAATGAACAGCAAATGCATGATTTTATTCACCCAAAGTTATTAAGAGGAGCCAAAATTTTCAACATAGATACCTCACTCATTGCATCTGAAACGCAACACCCTATTAGAACTTCATATAAATCAGCCGATCGCTGTATTTCTGGTGCATCAGGCCAATTTTCTAGTATCAACAATGCATATTCACAGCACCTGCAATGCAAAGAGACATAACAGTGACAGAAAAGAGAAATAGAAAATTGCATGGTAAAGAACAAGAAACAAAGAAATACCTTGCACGGAGTACTGAACTCTTGTCGTTCTTTGCACAATCAACAATGCGAGGAAGCAAACGGGCAACTTTACAGTTACGTAACATCTGGAAATTACAAGAGAATAGAATCAAAAACAGATAAAAATCAAATAAAATAAAACAAATTACAATCAAAGGAATAAATTACCGTTTTTATACAATTATCTGCAGACTCTGCAATTACGAGGACAGTGATCACAACCAACTTGAAAAGGACCTATTATGATATCATGGAGTTAACAAATTCACATAAAAATAAAAATGTTATAAAGACTTAACAAAGAAAAGTTGAACTTACTGGAATGAACATCTCAGCGCAAGCCTCAAAATCTCCCAAGAGCTCCTTTGATAAAAAACACAATAGATGGCAAGCCTAGAAAAACAAAAGAAATTCAGGTACAGCTATACTTACAACTAAAAAATAACAGACAGGATTGAAAAGGATAAAAAGGTAAACAAGCGGCTTTCGAAATTGGAGGTAACACTTGAAAAGAAATCAGGGCAATTACCAGTTCCTTAATTCTTTTCATTCATCTAATACATTCTTCAACCATGCACTAAAGAGTGAACATACCATTCCCCCTAATCTTCTTTTCCCATAACCAATTAACAGATGGAAATGATTATGCTAAGTGCACAAAGAGTATAAAGCCTGATCAGCAAAATTATCTAAGGTTCATAATCACAAGAACCATAAGTTTACTCCCAACATTTCTCAAAAAAGGGTATATAGCCCCTTATCATTAGATTCAGTCGTAAGTAAACTCCTAAGAAACTTCAACTTAGAAGCACTAATTCACTATAAAATCACTTGCCTCTCCTTCCATTCCACAAGACCAATAAAAAGCACCTCCATGATTACTTGTGTGAAAATGAATCAAATCATACTAAGCTGAATGTACCATAAAAGCAAGCAACATGTGATTTTCACAGGACCTAATTTTATACCTTTAAAATTCTCTAACTTCCTTTTAGGCAATGGTAATATCTAAAGACCTCAAATTTCATAACAGCTAAAGCAAAGACTATCTTAGCTTTTCATGCATGCTAGAAACACTTTGACTAATGGCCTTTGATTGTTTGATTATTTGTAATGCACATATTAAGATCTATAATTCATGCTGATAATAGTCCCCAGATATTCTGAGATAAATGAACAAAACTACCTCAGTTGAATATTTATGAGGTTTATGTGAAACCATTACAACTGAAATATTACATACAACTACTTAGAACTGATAAAGCATATAATTAATATATCTCCTAGAATTTTTTAAAAAAAAAGGAGAATTAAAAAAAAGTGGTGCAAACGAAATCAAAAGGCCTGCGCCTTTTGAAAGAAACGAAAATGGTGCTCACCTGCTTCACAATGCTTGATCTTCGATCTGATAATTGCATACTTAGAGGGCCAACAAGGTGTTTTAGGAGGCCCCAGAAAGAGGGGTAGTCAGCAGCACCTAATACAAGAAAACACTATAGATGTTAAAATCAGTTCCTCATTTACAACAAAGGATAATATATAGATGCATATTGGCATTTGTGGGCTTAAACATAAGGTTTGCATCCAACCTAAAAACAATTGGCAATAGGTGGAGTAGCCCTCATTTAAGCCATATGTTTTTTTGTTATATCTTCGATATGGGATTTTCTCATTTAACACATCTCCTCATGTGCAAGCCCAAGATGAATTTCAGGTCCTGTCATGTGGGCAAATGGGAACGTAACCTGTTTTGATACCATGTGAAAAGTTTACACATGGCCTCAAACACAAGGTTGCATCCAACCTAAAACTAGTTGGTACTAGGTGGACTAGCCTTCTTTGTATTTAAACCACAAGTTTCTTTGTTATATCTTTGATTCCCACTCACAAACACCAAAGCCTTCAAGTTTCAGTCCATGTGAGCAAAACAATAACACCATACATTAAATGGATTATTGATGGCAACAAGACTACCTCCAGAAACAAGGCCTTCAACTCTCTGCATGGCCGCAATGCGGACAGACCAGTCTTTTGCTGGTATGAGAGTAGAAGCAATTTTCTCAATTTCCCTCACTAGTTCCTTTTCAGAGTACAATTTAATTGGTTCTACCGGTTTTTCTGCAATATCACTTTCCCCTGCAAAGATCAAAATGGCAACAACTTTTAAACAAATTGGATTGCTGACCCATAATTCCAATATGTGCTTTTATGGAGAATAATTTTAATTGCAATAAACTGAACATCATTGCTTAAAGAAATATAAAACCCTAAATAAAAATAAAATGTTAGAAGAGAACTAATCATGCAGAAACTAGCATATCATAATACTAAGTTAATAACTATCCAAATTTCTTAAAATCTTTAAAATTCAAGACATAGATACAGACCTCCAAAGAGAGATGCCTCCCGAGAAGAAGTCCTGGCCCTTGGACTGTTTTTCTTGGTGATTAGGCTTGCAGGTTTCATCTCACCAGAAAAACCACCAGTAAGCCCATCCGAAGGTTGAACTTGTGGTTTGATTTTCTCTAGTCTAGCATCAATATCCCTCACCTGCAGTTATATAATGTTGTCAAAATAACAGTGATGAAGCTTATCTTCCTTTTAAAAGGCAACAAACATAGCTATCATTTAAATTATCAAAAGTTCAAAACTTACTGCCAATGGGGACATAAAAGATTAACATAAAAGTTCAGATTAATTGTATTGATCTGCAGCTGCAGAAAATATAGGGAAGGGAAGGTGGAGAACAAAATAGAAAACTCTAAATCAAAAACTAACCATTGAAGCAGGAAGATTATGACGCTGAAGTTCATCACGGAATTGAGATCCAGCCTGCGCATACATTTCCTGGAACAGAAATAGATTTAAACTGATCAGAGGTCTGCTCCAACATATGAAAAGCATCAATCAGATGAGCCACAATGTCTCTAACTCTTAGAAAATGAATTCCAACCAAAATTACCAGTTATTGAACCTTTAAATCAGCCAAAAAAAAAACTACTGCTCCCAGTTACTAGCCACCAATTAAAACAAATAAATTAATCATTAATCAATAGATCAGTCAACTAGTAAATGATTCTATGGCATGAAAATCACAATAAATAAGGAGCTTCATTCATAAAAATCACACCGCAGTTTTAGTAAATCAGTCAAATTATACCCAACAAAATAGCAATCCGCAGCTCTCTAAACTTCAAATAAGGAACATTGTTGAAATCACCAACATGAAAATACCAGGCAGACCCAAAAAAAGTATAATCTCCAAAACCTTAAGAACTTGCATTAGAAGAAGCCTATCTCACCCCCCCACCCCCAACCCCCCCTCCGAAATAAATAAATAAACATGAAAAAGGTATTAATCAAGAACCTAGTTATATTGATGATAAATTCATAGAAAGGTGTCAAGAATATTATCTCTAATATCCAGGTTTCTTTTCCTTTTTCCAAGAAAAAGAAAAACTAGGAACCTTGACCTCTTAAGCATTCATAGATGAGGCTTATAGATACATCTCTCATTTTTTTTCCAATCATTTTCTCATTCTCTCTTCTCTGACATTTGAAGGAAAATGTGAATGAGAAATCTAACAAGTGGAAGATAAAGATGCCTTTCTAGAAAACAAGAAGCAGATGAGCTGCCTTCATATTCTCCAAACCAACTTATCTAACTTAAAACAAAATTCCTAAAAAATACAAGGCATATTCCACTAACCTCAATGCAAAGGATAGCTGCTTCACGAACACCAGGATTTGAATCATTCAACATCTGCAAAGTCTGATAATTGGACAAATTTTCAGAATGTGTACCACCAGATCTGATGAGAATAAACATTTTTGCATAATTCAGAAATGGTAATGATCATACAGGTGGAAGTATAGCCCGCTGAAGAGGCAGTTCAGTAGATGCAAAAAGACTGATAGCTGATGTGACAGTTCGTGCAAATTCCTCGCGAACTCTCCAGCTTTTATGAGTCCAGGCAAAAGAACCTGCTCTTTCGACAATAATTGTAGGAGAAGAAACCTGAAGCAAATAATGTTAGTTCCTTAACCCCAGCTTTTTAGGTAAATTGCTCACACCCAAAATGAAATCATTGATACAAAAAAGCCACAGAATCATTCTAAAACCAACAAAAAAAAAATAAATTAATAAAATAAAAACACTCCTTCCCAATTATAATTCATTCCAGAAACTCTACAATGCACTCATTTATATATTAGTATTACTTAAGAAAAATTGATCCACATTCACACGGATAGCTTCAAATCGTAGTTCCAAATAAATAGGCATATAACACAGTTAAGTTACCGAATGAAAAGAAAAATATTAACTGTGAGGCAAGAAGAAATGGGGGATAAATGATAAATCAAAAGTACAAGATACAATAACTCAATAAGTGAGGTTCTAGTGTTCTAGTTCCTAATGTGGATTGTCTATGATTAAGGTTGGAATATGAAATTTAGAAAATTAATGCTTCAAATTTTGACAGCAAATATATTCTCACTATTTTCGGGGCTGACTTCACAGAAGCTTTTGGGAGAAGTGAAATACAAATTTTGACCTTGCATAATTTTAAGGTTGAAATTTCAAGAATCTTATGTACAATTAAAGTTAGTTGGTTTTTCACACAAAAAAGTGTAAAAAATTATAAGGTGTTAAATTGTAAGTATCATCATCATTTTGAAACAAATGGAATAGAACATGGAGTTGAAGCATAAGAAAATAAAAACCGAAACATCTAATGTGGGAGAGAGAAACTACATAGTTTATCTCATTGCCTAGAAGTAGAAGATAAGATTTTCACACTGAAACACAAAACATCATATAACTTCATTTAAAGATATCCCATTGTGCCAATTGGACAAAAATAAGCCATCCATCAAACTTCTAAGTAATTTACCCAGTACAAAAATGGGAAATTCAATTCCTGCTAAAATATACGGGAAAAAAAATACCTCCATGAGAGTAAGCAGGAGGCGTCTAGCAGCATCTCTAACAGGCTGTTTGGCGTCGCCCAACCGCTCTACTACGGCCGGAACAAGCGCGTTAAAGTGCAACTTCAAATGGTCACCAGAGAGTACTGCGGCGGAGGCAAGGGCCTGGAGAGCACCCTGAGAGACTCTAAAGTTGTTATCCTTGAGAAGATCCAAACAACAATCAACCAGAGAAGTGACTTCGACCGAACTCAGACTCTTCCTGGAAGCTTCAAGGAGTTGGTGCAGACGCTCCACCGCCGCCATTCGCTCCTTCGTGTCCTTGGAACGTGCCTGCTCCAATGCCTCCTCCATCTGAACTCCGATCTAACTCACCTGGACTCAGATCTGAACGATTCTCAATCAGATGCAATTGTAAAATGCCTTCGCCTGAAACGATTACTTCTAGAGAATTCAGTCAGTCAATGAGAATAATTTAACGCCGGAGAGTGGCGGCGTTGTTGGTGGCGATGTGGGGCTGACACAGATTTAGCGGAGGAGTGCCGCTTAATTTAGCGGAGAGAGAGGAGCGGGAGAGGGTAAAGGAGACAGAGAATGACGGTGTAGATGATGAGAGCATGTGGTTAAGGAGTGGTTAAGAAATTCACCCATCCGTTCGGAGATTATTTGCGGGTTATGAGTAATTTTCTCGTATTTTTTAACCCACTTCAGGTATATTCATTATGATTTAAATTTAAAATATTTTATTTTTATTAAAATAAAATTATTATTAAATTATATAAGTTTTTAACCAACATAATAAAAATTATAAAATCAATCTATTATATAATCTAATAGTTTGCCTAAAGTGAATTTTGAGTCTAGAAAAATATATAAAATTAATATCTTTCTATTAAGACCTCACCCAATACGCTTCTTAGCCTATAAGGAAGTTAATATGTTAGTATTGGGTTAAAAGAGAATATTGCATAAAAGTGCAACTAAAGACCTTGGCAAGTTTTTTTTATCCAAGACAATCATATCAGCTTCAATTGAAGCTAAAGAAATAGAATGGT